AGGAATGCCCTGGATAGCAGGGAAATTGCTTTCCCAAGGGAAAGGGGCAAGGAGAGGCAACCCAGGTCTCCTCACAGGACCCTGAGCCTTTGTGCTGCTCTTTTTGGCTGCCCCCAGGGAACTCAAAATAAGGAGAAAAGCGTGTTTACCTACAAACGATGTAGTGGAGACACCATGCAAACTCCACGGCTGCTCCTATCCCAGCCTTGACGCCGGAGCAAACCAGTCGAAGCATGTGCTGGGGGAGAACAGAGTCCAGAACCAAGCTGGGGTCAGAACAGCAGAGTTAATGGAGGCACAGGCCAGAGCACAAGCAGGACAGACAACCGGCAGGGAGACACTAGCCCTGGCCACTGAGCAGGGAGCTGCTCTCCCTTGTTCTAGGGGACACACGCTCTAAAAACACACCTGGAAGAGGCTCTTACCTAGGGGCTGCAGCCTCAGGCACCACCAAGGTCCAGCACAAGCTCCCCCTGTCCATGGCAGGGCCTGGGGGCACTCAGAACACCTTGGCTGGGGTCACATTTTTGGCACTGGGGGCTGTCAAGCTGATCTTTTCCTTCACAGGAGGAATACAGCCAGAATTTCCCTGCGAGCCTACCCTGCTCAACACTGTCCTTTACTGAAATACCAGAGCTGTCTGTTCAGATGAGGCTGAGGGAAAAGAGTCAAGCCCCGTGCCCTGATCTGCAACAAAACCTCCATGGTTCTGGTAGGATTCTGCTCTGAACTATTAATATCACTGAGATGGGAAAGGCGTCATTGTCCCTGGCATGCAAATACCACGCCAGGCCCCAGGGCCCATCCAGATACAGGGTTAAGAGGCTCGGACTCACGGGATGATCTCTGTGGGGGCTTCCTTGGCTTGGAGGAGCTGCGAGAGGACGTAGCCTAGGCCTTCCAGCACAGCCTCGTGCGGGGACTGCAATCAAACAGAGCAAAGCTAATCCCGTGTGACAGAGCCGGGGGATCCCAGGGTGCCAGCTGCCGTGCTGGTGAGAGGGCGATGCCTCTTTGTAACACCAAACCAAGCAGCTGAGCGGCGCAGTCTCGCCATGCCTGGAGAAGAGGGGGCACAGCAAGGGACGGGGAGTGACAGAGCAACACCAAAGCTGAGCTGTCCCCCCTCCCTGCGCTCACACGGGCTGCAGCCGTAGGGATCCAGGAGCCCAAACACAGCAGCAGTGCTACTTTGAGCATTCAGATCGGCAAATGACAGCCCTGCTCGCTGTGTTGGCCTCGTATGCCTGCTGGACCCAAGCGGCACAGAGGGGAGAAGTCTGCAGCTCCCCATGTTACAGACTGTTTATTGGCAAGCCACAGTTACAGATGTGAGAGGTTCAGCTGGAGAGGAGCACAAGGTGCTGACCTGAGCCCTGAAAATGGAGTGCAGGAGAACCCAGGAGAGACCCTCACCCGCAAGGGAACAGCCCTCTGCAGAGGGGACTCTGCTGGTGGCCCCAGCTGGAAGGAGGGCTGGTAACTCAGTACTGTCAGCCAGCGTCTAAAGGGCCCAGGAAAAGGCATCGTTCTGGGGCAGGGGAGGAGTGTGGCCAAGCTATTTCACCCACCTGGATGCAGGATGCCAGCACGGGAATGATGCCCTGAGGCAGAAGCTGCTTCCTCACAGCTTCACTTTCTACTACCAGGTTCCCCAGCGTGTACAAACACAGCTCCTGAAACACGCCCAAGAGAGCAGGTCACCTCCTCCGCACCCCCCAGCGGGACCCTGGGCAGCCAGCAAGGCCTGTAGGTCCCTGCACCCCGAGACTAGGGCACACACTTCCCCTGCGCGGGGCAGAAGCTCTCTTCAGAGGGGTAAACATAGACAGATACCGCTGAACCCCCCAGCTACCCCATTCCCAGCTGTACCAGCTTCAATTTATCCTTTTCTATCTGGCTCAGGTTGGGATCTGATCACTTCTATTTTGGAGGTTTTTCAAGCTTTTAATTATTGCTTACTGCAGCCTTTCAGTACCTAAAGGGGGCCTAGAGGAAAGGTGGGGACAATCTTTTTAGCAGGACCAGCTGGGACAGGACAAGGGATGATGGTTTGAAACTAAACCAGGGTAGGTTTAGACTGGATCTAAGGCAGAAATTCTTTACAATGAGGGTGGTGAAACCCTGGCAGGGGTTGCCCAGAGAGGGG